CTGTCCCATCCATAGGATGGTTCAGGTTGGCCACCTCAGCCGCCCTATGACTAGGATTCAAAGGGCCCAAGGGATTACCTGTGGGGAGGGAGTATCTGCTCCGCTCTGCCACCATCTCCCCACCTGTTGTGCTCCGATTCACCATGGTGGTCGGAAATGGAGTGCCTTGGCCCCAGCCGTACAGCACTTGGCTTCTCTGTGCTGTGTTGAAGTGGAGCGACTTGGCTGGAAGATGGGCAGCTGGGCAGAGCGGAGCAGGCTGCCAGGTTGCATCAGCTCCTGGTAATCCCCTGGCTTGCATCACTCTGGGGAGGGATTTTTGGGGAGAGGTGGGAGCAGGGGTGGTCTTGGGAATGGGGTGGAGTGGGAGGCAGAGAAGAGGGGTCTGCAGGCAATTGCCCCAGGCCCCTGGGGACGACCTTGTTGCTAGCCATGGATTTTTCCCTGATGTTTTTAAAGTCTCTCATCAATTAATATTGAATACTATCCTTTTCCTTGTTCCACTAATTGTATTTTTTTTTGATCGTTGCAATTCTTTTCACCACTGAGGATGGACATTTAGCCAAAGTCACTTTCTTGGTTATAGAGTCAGCGCTCTCTGTCCATCCTAACATCTTTTTAAAAAAAAAAACTCCAATTTTAATTAACATTTTTCTATCTTTCTTCCCAATCATGTTAACCATTGTCAGATTAAAAACAGTATGACAGATTTATTTCTGTGTTGCTGTTTACATTCTTGTGATGTAAATTTGAGTGATTTTGTATGGTTAAGCTATCCCCTTCATTGGTAAGGTTCAGCTGAGAGATGCAGGGAGAAATCTAGTTCATATCCTAATTTATCCATGAATGGCAAAAGAATGGAGGAAACGAAAAAGGTCTTCCCCCTGGAGTGAAATAATTTAGAACTCTTAATGCTATATTTATCTGCACTGTTTGTGCAGCAGCCTTTGTTTTTTGTAAACGTCTGTCCAATTAAGAACAAAAATCATGTGGCTCTGCTTTGATAAATCTAGTGATGAACTTTGGTCATGGAGGCATTTTTTCTTAGCCGCTTTGTGAACTGAAAATCTAGTTAACAGACTAAATCTAAGTTTTGGCACCCATGTGGAACAGCAATCCATCTGCTGATGAGCCACATGGCCTAGGGTTCTTTATTAAGAACTTCTGAATAAACTTGAGTGCTCTTAATATTTCTATACATGAAAATTAGGGACAGTTTTCAACAGTCTCTCACAAAGCTAGTATTGAGGGAGGTCAAATGCTGTTGCGTTTACATGACTCAAGAAACCTATTTTTCTGTCCTTATTCAAGTCATAGTAGAACCTCAGAGTTATGAATACCAGTGTTACAAACTGACCAGTCAACTACACACCTCATTTGGAACGGGAAGTTGGGATGTAAAATCCCATTTAACGTTTAACCAATTAACCGCTTAAACAGGGGACCCCTGCCCACAGTGCTGCTCTGGCCAGACTGGGCACGTTACAGACTGGGCATGCTGCAGATGGACTGGAGTACCTCCCTTCTCCCCCGGCGGGTCCTTCTAGGCTCGAGCAGCCCCTGCCGGTTAACTGTAACTTACAGGTTAAACCATTCACATCCCTAATTGGAAGTATGCAACCTCGGGTAGAGAGTAGCCAACTACAGTACAGCTCTGTGTTAAAATAGGGTTACCATATTTGAACGTTCGAAAAAGAGGACATATCTGAGAGGGAGTGTATCTGTATCAGTTATCTACCAACTCACATTGTATTACAGTTACACCTGAGAGGGAGTGTAACTATCTGTAATACAATGTGAGTTGGTAGATAACTGATACAGATACACTCCCTCTCAGATATGTCCTCTTTTTTGAACGTTCAAATATGGTAACCCTATTTTAAACATAAACTACAAAAAATGAGGTGGGGAAGCAACATTTTTCTTCTGTATATCAAAAATTTCAAAACTGTATCAAGTCACTGTTCAGCTGTAAGCTTTTGGAAGACCAACTGTAATGTTTTATTCAGTTATCCATTCCCTAGGGATTCATAACTCTGAGTCCTTACTGTAGATCCTTCATCCACAGTGTACATTAGAAGTCATTTTTACATGTCTTGTTTTTGTTTAGTCTTCCCTGAAGAAATTAAATATTTAGGTATATGAAAGGATTTTTCATCATTTATCAGTAATGATCTCCATAGTTGTGGGATTTAGTTTGGTCCAGGGTCAGAAATATTGCATATACGGAACTCTACAATTCCCTTGCACAACGTATAGAACAGTGGTTTCCAAACTTTTTGGCATCACGCACCCTTTTTAATTTTTGAGAATCACACACACACACACCCACCAAAACTTGTTGAGGGGAGAGGGAAAAAAAGGAACAGACTGGGGCTGAAAAGCAGAAATACCAGCAAAACTTTGGAGGGGGAGGAATTGACATGGGGGGGGGGACCTAGGTCGCCTCACAGCCCCCCTTGGAATTTCTTCACGCCCCCCCCCCCAGGGGGCACGCCCTCCAGTTTGGGAACCCATGGTATAGAACATAGAGCACCTTCAGTTGAGATATATGTAGTCAGCTTATGCCAGTTATAGCGGTGCTCCCACTCTGCCCTGCAGGGGATGTCCCATCAGCAATTTCATTAGAAATATCATTCTGTTCTGATGTTGGTACTGAAACCTGTCTACACCTTGGAACAGTGACAGTGTAAAAATGACACCTGTTTACTCCATACATCTCTGTCCTACCTGCCTCTGTTGCTACTAAAATACATTCTGACTCTGTTTTGTTTGTGTTTTGTTCATGTTCTGCTGCAGAGCTGTTCTGCAAATGAGAGATGTTCCCTGACCATCAACAGCAAGATTGTTTAACTAAAGTTCCTGTTAGTTTCTCCTTTGGATACCCCTTGAAAGCAATGGGTATCACAAAAGGCATGACTTGAGTATTGAATTTGTACTGGCAATAATCGAGGACAGATTTGGCCCTGAAGAATCATTATGATTGCTGAAAATTCATGAAACATGAAGAACTCAGCTTGACCCTCGGGTCCCAATCTGTTGCATGTTTAGGTCCGTTGAGAGTGGGTAGGTTTCTGATAACTTGAATGTATTTAATGCAGAGACCATTGTGAGAATAAACATGGGATCTCACAGTGCCACTAGATAAACTTTTCAGAGGAGAACTGTTCAGAGGAGACCTGTACATTAAAGGTGATAATAGATATGCCCTTTTAACCAAGGCTTGGTGTAGAGTCTAAACCCTGAAGAAATGTGAGAGGGGATCTAGAATATATTTCTATTTGCGATGGATATTGTAGTTGTGTCTAGGTAGGTTCTATAAAGGTGTGTTGGAAAACATGGCATCTTATCCCAAAATACATATGATCAAAGTCTAGACATGTTTCAGTAAAAGTAACTGTTTAAACGATTAACTAATCATCCTGGGAGGTAGCAGTGCAGGGTGAGAAGGGGCTCCCTGGGAGTGGGATGGGGAGCTCACTGGCTGATGGCCACGCCCTTGAGGGGTGGGGTGGGGGACTATCGAATAGTTGTGTATCTAATATCGCTAGTCAACCATTACAGAGGCAACAGTGTAGGGGTGGCAGGTGGGACCTGCTCCGTGCTGGAAGCTGGCTTAAAAGCTGAAGAGCCGGCTGCTGCCCCGCAATGCGGGTGCGTTTAAACATGTAAGTGCTGAGATTTCCAGCGGTTACAGTTACCAAATTAATCCACTTTGTAACATCCCTAGTTCAACTGGAAATTTCCGGGTGAAGTTTTGCAGCCCATGTTGTGTGCAAAGCTCTCAGTTCTAAACTGTCTTGTAGTGGTTGAATGTAGTTTTCTCTTTCTAAATGAACTGTAGTTTTTAATTTACAGCCTAGCAGACTCTGCAGCAGATTTGAAGAAAAAATAGAAATGGACAAGACAGAATAGAAATCTTGGGAATTTCTCCTTACAGTTTTATCTGTGTTTTTGGTTGTATGCTTTCTGGTCATACAGTTTGATTAAAGTTTCTTGTGTTGATCTGCTTGGTCTCTGCTGCTGTAGTCCAACTACTGAAACTTTTGTTTTACGCTGCTGTTACTGATACTGTTTTTTAGCTAAGTAAGAAAGTGGAAAACAGTTACCTAATGAAAACCAGATTTCCTATCTGTGTTAATTTACAGAGCCTCTGGCATATAGCTAGCATGGCTAAAAGGCCATAAAACATTGTAATCAAAATGTTGTTGTTACATAAATATAAATGCCGCTTCTTCTTTTGATGTAACAATGGTAAGACTGTCTTTTGAAGATCCTGCTTTCTGTTCATTTTTTCCAAATCCCATGCCCACACCTACAGCTTAATGAGTTTTTAAATAAATGTGGGGTGGTTGTTTTTTTTTAAATTCATGTCCTGCTAGTCCAATATTTGTGGAGAGGGTGAAAGTGTACTCTCTTCAGGGGAAGAATAGTAAAATCTATGATTTCACTGTATTTGATGTGTAGCATCTGTACTTTATTAAATCCAATTTTGCATACATAAGCAACATGGGGATGCTACAATGGGGTCAAACCTAACCATGTGTGCTGCAGTATAGCAATGCATTATTGTATGAATGTAATTAAGCTGTTTAAAGGGAGCTTGTTTTGTTGCCAATAAAAGACCAATTTGAAATACAAATTGAAAGGACAAAAAACCCTCTCCAAGACAATAAGTCAGCACTCAAAAATGTAACCATAATACTGGGGCTATCAGATGGGTTCCAGTCCGCGGTTGTTTCTATTATCCTTATGTTGACATTGCTTTCAACAGTTTTCCTCATTATTTCACTGGCTCATATTTTAATTTAAGTCTGAGAAAAAGATATCTCCAGGCGACTTGAAAACTCTGAGAAAATGGAATTTAGTTCGCTAGCCTCCCAGGTGTCAACCATTTCAAGGGTTGCTCTGGACCCAAGAGAATATGACCTCACAGAGTGTTTACATGGCTGCTTTTAATCTATGATTTGTTCAATCTTACCTTGCTCTTGTCTTTGCAGTGTGCCCCAGTGCTTGTGGCAAACGGGCATGCACAGACCAAAATGAATGTTGCCATCCTGAATGCTTGGGGAGCTGCACTGCGCCTGACAACAACACAGCGTGTGTGGCCTGCCGCAATTACTATTATGAAGGAATCTGCGTGCCCACCTGCCCACCTAACACCTACAAGTTTGAGGGCTGGCGCTGCGTTACTAGGGACTTCTGTTCCAAAGTCCCTGCTACCGAAATAAGCGAGTATGAGAAGTTTGTGATCCACAATGATGAGTGCATGGCGGAGTGCCCCTCTGGATTCATACGCAATGGCAGCCAAAGGTAAACCAACCCCTGGGGAAGTCCAACTCGTTTCTAGTGTATTCTGACAAACTGCTGCGATGCAAATTTTGTTATGGAATATAGTAGATTTGGGGAACTCCACAAGCTTGTATTATTCTTCATATAGTTCCCTGTGTGATTTCAAAAAGATCATCTCTGCACGTGGTCGTCCGGCCCCCTCCTCCCCCCCGACGCCCTCCAAGTTCTGTGGCATTAATCATCTAAGGTCCTGGTCCCATCAGGTTCTGATGAGCAGCTTCATCCTCTGCTGATATCAGTGTAGAACAGAGTATGGTCAATACCATGAGGTTGCAGCCTTGAAACTAGACAATAGCCCAGTGATACTGGTAAGGTGGGGAGGAAGGATGTGGGAAAGAATTGCCAGTAATAATGGGGAAGGAGATTCTGCTATTGGAGAGCGTTGCCACACAGAACAGTACTAAAAGTTATTTATATCTTGTATTAATTCGTTGTTTACTCTTGAAGGTTGGCATTCTTATTCTTTTGTGTAGGTGTCTCATGTTTATTGCAGTCTTTAGATTTGTGCATCTTCTGCTTCACCATGTTTTTCCTAGAAGATACCAATGCCACCTCAGTTCAGAGCAATAATGGCAGTAGCTGCTGTCCTATTTTATGACTACCAAATTCATGGTCCATTTTAGGAAATGTCATGGCCAGAGGGGCTTAGAATTAGTCAGTTTCAGGTTTTCAGATGTTTACATGTGCAGTTTTATGATGGTGTAACTGGTAGGGGGGAGGTCCCCAACCCAAAAGGGGATCATTGGGAATTGCAAAGCTCTTAAAGGGAAGTTGCAGCTTTGCTACCCTCACTTCTACATTTCCTTCAGAGCGGCGCTTTCTGCAGCCAGAGAAGGTGTATGCAGTGGTGGGTCTGATCTGCCCCACCCCTAGTGAGCAGTCATGCTGGGGAAGAGGAAGCCCTATTCCCAGCTTGGTGGGTGCTAGCAGCTAGGAGCCCCTGGTTAGGGCATTCCCAGCAGCATGGTTGGGATCAGAACTTCCTCTGCCTCCAGGAACCCCCTCTGGCAGCAGGAAGCTCCATGGCTGTGCTGCCTTGCCACCTGGGGGATATACCTAGAGGTGGGTTTTTCCCAAGCACTGGGAAAGAGGAAATTTCCTCCTTCCTCAGCCCAGCCAGGACTTGCAGCTGGAGCCCAGTGCACAGTAGGAAACTCCTGCTAGGAGGCTCCCAGCCCTGTTCTTTCCCCACACCTCCAGTTTCATGGTAGAGGTCTGATTTCACGGTCCATGATCTGTGTTGCATGGTCATGAATTTGGTAGGACTCTATTTATTGCTAACGGTTGTCAGGAACTGCTTTTTACAGGAATATTACTGTGATTTTTGTCAGTCATGTTCCTGGAATTTAAAGTACTTTGAGTGATAGGTATGTTCATTTTGCCAGCAGCCAAGGCAATAATCTTAGTGGCCTACCATTTAGAGCAGCGGCATTAAGAAATGTTATTTCCTAGCAATTGCTAATATAAAGGTATTTTCAGGACTGCACTGAAAGCCGTTCAGATGGAGAGAGTCTGTACTGTAGTTTTACCTTGATTTGTGCTGGTTAGTTATGTTCAGGATGTGGAAATATCCACCCATTTGCTTTATAAAGCTAGAGAGAATGAGAGAGCATCATCCAAACGAACATCTTCCTTGGAAAATTTCCAGTTCACATTTAGATGGAAAAAGCCGTTACTCTTTGCTAGCTTGAAGCCGTATGTTTACCTGAGAGAGTCTGTCCCTGCTGTCTGGCCTGAGCTGTTAGTAGTAGCTGTTCAAAAACACTCTCACAAGAGCACAGCTTATCTTATCCTATTTTAGCGTTCAGCTGCAAAGGCAGAAAGGCCTAACTCAAGGCCAATGAATGTTCTGTCCCGTCGCGCGCGCGCGCCCTCCCCCCTCTGCTGAAACAGAGAATTGTCAGAACTATGAGAGGTCAGTATTGTCTAGCATCATTGCCAACACTGCCACTACTTTTACTGGACTCTTAGGATACATTAGAGCTGAAGAACAGCACAGAACACTGAGAGCCAGGACTGGTGGCTGTAAACAAACTTTATGGGAGTGCAGGAAAGTTGGCCACACCCATGATAAATAGGCATCCGGCTAACTGAAATCATGCCGGACTACGGATGTTGCCGGACCAGAGAGTGCCGGACCAGAGAGGTTCAACCAGTAGTAAGCATAAGAATGCAAGCAATAATGGCTTGCACTTAGAATGCCCTTCGTCCAATTCCAGGGGATCCCACAGCATTTCATAACCTGGTTTACAAGACTGGGGAGGAGGTTGTGCACAATCACCTTACTTACCACTCTATTGCAGCCATCAGGATGGTGAAATATGGCAGTAATTTAACAACTGACCATGGCGCTTGAAGTGATTAACATAACACACCAGGGTACAACTGGAAATTAATAAGGAATAGCACTTCTTGTGCAACTGATAGAGTAATGAGAGTAAGGTTTTTGTTTTGTGCTCAGTTGTACCTTACTGCAGCTTTTCCAGTTCTCCATTATTGCCTTTAGAATCCAAATCCAAATGATTCCTTACAATGTTCGCTTTATTAAGACAATAGAATCTCTAATCATTAGATTTCTACAACAATCATTTTCTCTAGAGCACTTATTTATGAGGGTCACTTCTGCTCATAGAACCCATGTACTCCTGGCTGCATCAGATACTTGCTTTTCTGCTCGGCCTCTTCTGGAAAATGGCAACTTTCCTCCCAGTTTGAGGGATTTGTATTTCATTAGATTTGCAGATAGAAAAGCTCTTGCTTTCCAAACAATGCAGTAAGCAGTCTGTTGTGCATTGAGAACCATGTGTTTTTGTTTATTTCTGGTCTCCCTTCCTTCCCAACAGCATGTTCTGCAGCCCCTGTGAAGGGCCTTGCCCAAAAATCTGTGAGGAAGAGAAAACAAAGACCATTGATTCTGTCACATCAGCACAAATGTTGCAGGGATGTACCGTTCTGAAGGGGAATCTGCTTATTAACATCCGCCGTGGGAGTAAGTAATGTTCCTTCTGAATGTAGTCTTCCATGAGGGTCCTTTAATTTCTATTTTCTCTTTGAGTGTATCAATAATAATAAAAAAAAACAAAAGAAAATCTTAAACAGAGTCTTCAAGAGGATTGTTTGCTTTTTTTAATGGCGCTCCAGCTGCTTTAAAGATTTCGGCTGGAACCCTCAACATGGCCACATTTTCAGGTATTTAGTCAGTGACAGAGGTTTTCCTCCTCGTGCGTGAGATAATGAAAATCCCTGTTTAAATTCAAACCCTGTTCCGCCCAAAACTCATCATTCCTATGTTGGTCATATCTGGTATGTGTCCTAACGTAAATGAACTCTGGATACGATTTGTCAGAGTAGTGAGTCACCAGCGAACACTGAGCTTTTAAAAATGTTGTAAACTTGGTTGTTTGAAATATATCTCCCTATGCATTCAAAGGAGTATGTGGGGTGGAGTGCCTTGAATTTTTGTGCCTGTGCTAGATGGATTGAATTGCCTATGAATACCAGGTTTGCTTCTAATAACCAAGGATGTTGGAAACAGCTGTATGTGGATTGTTTTAATTATGTGTTTCACATGTTTAAGTAAAATCCTAACTTCTGGAGGGAGATGGTCTGAGGAGCTTTTATTTGAGTTAACCCATTCAGCTCACCCATTCTGGAGCAATTGATTGTATTCCTGAATACTATAGAGTAACTACATAAACTGGGTCTAGTTTAATACTTAAATACTATCTCAAAGAATTGAAGCAAGTATTGGAGGAGTGGCTGGATCAGTCTGTATCTGCACAAACGAGGAGTCCCTTGGCATTTCTCAATGCCAGACACTGAATTTAGCCATATGAAGTAGAAGTCCATCAACTTCATGTGCTATCCAGCCTGTACTGCTGTGCACACACAAGTTAATTTAGTTTTAGGTAGGGATGTTAGCGCGTAGTCGTTTACACAATTAACTGATGAGCCTGGGCTTATCGGTTAATCCTAATGACTATGCAGACACTAGGATGCAGGGGTAGCAGTGTGGGGAGTGAAGGGAGCAGGCATAAGCTGGTACATGCAGGAAGCTGGCTTGCTGCGTGTTGTACCAGCTTGGCACCCAAGGAGCTGCCTGCCTGCCCGCCCCCCGCCCCACCCCACCTCTCCCCCCTCCTGTTGCCTCTGTAAGAGGCAGGAATGTTGGGGGAGGGAGAACAGGTGGGAACCAGTACATGTGGGGAGCCTGCTCCCTATGAGCATCGGCTCCCACGGAGCCACCGGCCTCCTTCCCTCACGCCCTCTGCTGCCTTAGTTAACATCCCTAGTTTTAGGATCCTACATAAGAAACAAACACCCAACTTCCCAGGTCCCTGGCCATTTTGAGGAGTGCCTCCTACGCAATTACAGTGTAACGACTAGGGATGTTAAAAATTGTGTAATAGGATAACTTTATACTGCAGAGCCTGCAGCAGAGTCTCTCGGAGTGGGGCCACAAGCCCATGTCTGCTTGGCTCCCATAGAGGCCGCTCCACTGAGTGTAATCAATAAGCATCCGGTTAATTGTTTACACTCAGACATCCCTAGTAGCGACTACACAAGCTGGAGAAAAATTTAGACTCTGGGTCAGCTATAAACTTGCCTTCATTGTTTCAGCATTCGAGGAGCACAGGCTGCTTAAATGATGTAGTTCTATCAACATGATTTTTTTAATAGCCAGTAGAAGTTGTGTGCTTTGCAGTATCTGTATTGTTTGTTGAAAATGATGCCGTGCTCTTCACTTGATCATTTCAGCCTGGTCTAACTAACGAGTTGTACCTCTGTCACCAAGAGTGACAGGAGTTGTGGTTTCATAGATGTCTAAATTTACAACTTCACACGAATCTTTTCAACCTTGCCAAAAGGTTGGCTTTTGAAAGCTCAGAATTTGGTACGGGCTCTAGTATGGAATATTCATGCAAAGGAAAGCATATCAGTAAGAAAGTTATAAATGGAGTTCTGAGAGTGCCCTGTTCTCCACCAGTCTGCCTGCATAGGTAAATGATATGTGCTGGTCTGCAGCAAGATGAAACTGTATTTTTGTTTGCAATTCTGTTATGCTAACCCTGCATTGTGCAAAGTGCTGAGCTAAACTTGTTTGAACTTGAATTTCCTTTTCTTGAATTTAGACAATATTGCTTCCGAGCTGGAGAATTTTATGGGTCTGATAGAAACTGTAACTGGGTATGTGAAGATCCGCCATTCCCATGCGCTAGTCTCCCTGTCTTTCTTGAAGAATCTACGCTATATTTTGGGAGAGGAACAGTTGGATGGGTAAGTGTTCAAACATAATGAACTAATATTTATAGAGGTAGCTTTGCTTTAAGTGGAAGTCATGGAACATCAATCTTATGAATACTTTTGGTATTACTTCTGAGAGAGTCTTCAACTCAATTAATATGCCGTTTTTGTCTCCTACTGATAACCATTGTACAGTCATTCATTTGATACTCTACCATGCGAGTAGTTGGATGAAGATTTTAAAGGTATAATTTTGGTAACCCTACCAACTGCTTTCTCTGATAGAGATTTTTTTTTTTAGGGAGATACACGTTTGTAAGCATCGTTTCCTGTGGCATTAGACACGTCCTGGTTTTTGATGTTTTAGAGCGTTTAGGAATGAGTATCTTCAGAAGTCATTGTTCTTTTGGCTGTGCAGTTTATTAGTGTTGTATCCTTAACATATGTGTATGGAATGTCAATTGGAAGAAGATCACAGGTCACTAACTGCAAAATTAGGGAATGGGACTGAAACTACCTTGCATGGCAGGAAACTGCGCTTACATGAGCCATCCTCAGAATACTAACATGGAACTAACTCTCGGTATCTAGAGCTAGAGAAACAGAATATGAGCCTCTAAAGTAATCATGATCCACTGAAACGTTTGCTGATAAACATGGTTCATTTGTCTTAATTCTGTAATATTTAGTGTAATGTGCTTTCAATAGCACATTGTGCAGTTGCTATCTAAAACATCACCTACCATCCTCACCCCTGAAGGTAGGCAGCTGAAAGAGCAAAGGTTGGCTTATCTCCTGCGAAATTTGGGTTTGAGATGCTGCGCTCCCTTTCTCTCCCCAAATTAAGTAACTTCCCAAGATCAAAACAATAGTCTGGAGAAGAAATGTGCCCTCCTCACTAATGAAAAATGCAGTAAAATAAGAATTTTGGAAAATCATTTAGGAAAAGGTGGTGGGAAGGTCATGGGAAAGGTTTTATGTCTCTGATTTATCTGCCCTGACAGGATAAAGTTACAGCATAAGAGATTCTTCACAACCCTCCCTCTCTTTCTCAGGCTACTCTTTGGTCAGTCTTAAATTCTTAAAATTCCACCATCTGACAGAGCAAGTTAGAGGGCAGCTCTTCATTCTGCACTTGAAAAGCACACTGTCTTTTTCAATCAGAACATTGGCTCTTTGGAAAAACATGTTTCTAATTGCAAATCTGAGAGGCTTGTCACTTTGCCTAGAACAAGGCTCTTTCCGCTACTTATGATGTGGCATACTGAAGCAGATACTCCAATTAAAAATTGGTGTTTGCTTTCTTTTAGTAAGTTCAGTAGTGATGATGTTTATGGAATCTTGTAGGTCAGCAAGCATAACGCATAGGTAAGAAGCAGTGCTATGCATCAGGTGTTATTAATTCTGTCTGCCTGATTCCACAATGAAAAAAAAAAACCAGTGAAACTTAGAAGAGAAGAAAATAGGGGTGCCTGTGGAAAGCAAAACTGATACACGCTAAGGAAATTATTGCAGTTGCATGCTTCTTGGACCAGGAGCGGTCTTTGTTTGGAAAGTACTTACACATTATCGGCACCATCACAGTCTTAAAAGGTAAATTTTCAAAAAATATTCAGCTAGTTTCAGTGGGGATGTTAAATTTAGTTTAATCAACTAATTGACTAGTCGATGGATTTTCCATCGACTAGTTGATAAGCTGGGGAGCTGCAGTGGGGTTAGCTTCCGGCCCCACTGTTGCTCTGCCTATTAAATGTATTAAGAGCCTGCTGGCTGTTAATGTTTAAAAGGCAGAAGGGCAGCAGGGGGGGACCCAGTGCAGCCAGGAGAGCTGATTGCTGGCTTGCACTGTGTCCCCCGCTGCGCTTCAGCCTTTTAAATGTATTAAGAGCCTACTGGAGTGGAGTGGAGGCAGGTGGGGGGGATCCCAGCATGAGCT